ACTTTTCACCGTCGTCGACTTCGCTGGGGGCTGCGGAGCTGCAGCAGCTAAGCTGCCCGACTTCTTTTCTTTCTCACTTCCCTGTGAAGCCTTTTCATCTTTCTTCTCTTTGTTTTTTTTCTGCTGTTTCTTCTCTTTCCTCAGACGCTGCTTCTCTTCTTTGGTCAGCTCTTTGCCTTCAGTCTGTTTAGTGACAGAGAATAAAGAAGCAGAAATTAGAAGAAATTATCGAAACTATGAACACTCAGACTGGTGACGTAACAAGGGAAGTGACCAAACCTTTGCACGTTCAATGTCTTCTTGTCTGTCATTTACATCTGTGAAAATGGAAGATTGTGACTCATAACAGGTGATAAATAATATATGAGCCAGCTAATATAAAGTTCGTTGTTTATCACTAAGCTTTTATGAGGTAAATTACTAATGAGCGATTTTACAAAACACTTAAATAGGAAAAAAAAATGTAGCAACTCTATTTAACCCAATACTAGTAAAAATGATGCAAGACCACTACGATGTCTCCTGTTTAACTGTTGGTATGCTAATGTTAGCAGCACTCACTTCTGCGGAAAAAACACCACCCGGAAGCAATAACCCAATACCTAAAACCAAGAATTACCTCTTTGAAAAAAATCATTTTTAAAACCTGCTGAAAAAAAGAAATAACAGCAGGAAAATGGAGCAAAGCACATCTGTTACACATTTTTAAACTCACCTGACACTCCGGTGTCGGCCATCTTTACGACACAGCTTCACTTCCTCTGCTACAGCAGGATCGCTGCCTGAAAAACCACAGCGCCTCCTTGTGGAACCAGAGATGTGGTGCATCTGTAATCAAGCTAAAGCAGCTCTTAAGAGAAAGTTTTAGCGTTTGTATATTTATATGTCGATGGTTTGTAGACACGGTTATTAGCACCCCTGAACTTTTTTCCCATAAATAAAATAAAGTAAAATAAAATAAAATACAATTACAATTAAATTAAATTTATTTATTTACCTTAAATCCTCTAATATTAGCCTGTATTCAATTAACGGCCGGGTATCATATTTTGGCCGGTGTCGGAGCCGGCAGAGGTGAATAATGGCCGGTATTTTATTGTGGCCGGGTGGACTGTGGTAACAAGCAGGTACGGGGGGTGTGTGTGTGTGTGTGTGTGGGGGGGGGGGGGGTTGTGTAATCCGTCTCACTTTTGATTTGCCAGTGGTAGACCGCGAGGGTAACTTTAACCGTGCGGAGACGAAGAGGAGGCGAAAATTTGAAAACAAGTTCAAAGAGAACGTGCTGATTATGCTGCAGAACACTCTGGGGAGCAGCAGGGGTTGTATGAACTAGTCGACTTCACTATAGTGACTTTTTATGCCTGTCATCGACTAGTCGCTGTCACGTGATAATGACCGGCAAGATGCAGCCCTCGGAAAAGACAGCAGCCTGCTGTCAGCAGGTGACAAGCTCCTGCGCGTCGGGGGGGCAACGCGCTGTGCCAGAACGTCGGTACCGACACACGATCGTTCATGTCGGCTCATTTCCTTTAATGTTTTCTGTCTTTTAATTGCGCCTGATGTGTTTCGCTGCTGTGGAGCGGGGCGCATCACCTTGTCCTCCCGACGCACCGATCACTGATGCGGCCGGCGAGCACTCCGCTGTTTTTGCGGTCGGTAGATCTTTTAGAACTGCAGTTCAAAGGTAACTCATAAGGTGAATATATATGAACCCAGGTAGCAGTTTCTCTTTAGGACTGAGAGGAGATGCAGGAAGATAATAAACAGATACAGGACAGAAAAGTTAGTTTTTGTACCTGGTGGTTGCAGCAAACAGACACCATTGAAGGTCATCAGAAGTGAGGAACAGAAAATGAAATAATTATTTTAATGTTTAGAGCAGCAGGAACACTGAGAGGCTGCAGGCGCATCAGTGAGTTTGCGGCCACTGCGCAGGGGGAGGGGGGAGAGGGCTGAAGCAGAAACTACCGTTGTTAAAAGAAATGTGATTAACTTTGAAAATGTGGGCGCAATTTTAATTGTCAGAAACTCCAGCGAACCATTAGTTCATTTTGCTCAAATAGAAATAGAGGCCTGCCTCTAATACTGGCCCTCCTTCCAATAAAAGCCTGGAGCTTGATGAGCTTGAGTCAAATACAGGCCCGGGCCTGTATTAGAGGATTTATGGTATTTAATATTTTACAACAACATTTGCTCATTTTGATGTACATTTTGTGTGGGTGCATGCTTGTGCCTGCCAATTACAAATGTAGGGATTACATTGATTTAATGGCCAGCACCAAAATCACCCACAAATAACAAATGTGTGTTGTGAATATTGTAGAGGCTCGAGTCAAAACACTAGGCTTGCTCCGTGCACGCCAGAGGAAGCATCAAAGCAGCTACTGTGGTTTCTGGTTGATAAAACCACAGGAAGCTCTTACTTGTACCACAAACATTTTACTGTTTCTCAAAGCTTTTTCTTGTAATATGAAAGGTACACTTTATCTTTGAAAACATTATATAAATAAAACATGTTGCGAGAATTGTAAAGAACAGCAAATCGTTTTTTCCCACAACTTCAGCAGCTGTTGTAACTAAATGGTCAGCAGGGGTCGCTCTTCCTTCTCTTGAAGCCTCTTTTTTCCATACTCCACATCTTTGTTCGTGTTGTCTAATTTCCAAATGTGCCCCAGAAAACAGAAACTCACTCGGCTCATGTTAGGAGATGTTTTAACTTGATGACTCTTAGAGAAAATCAGAAATTAAGCCTTTATAGATGTCCTCAGTGCTTGCCCTGACATGAGAGGCAACAAAGAGCTGTGAAAGAGTCCTTACACCTAAATATTTCCTAACTGGAACAGGAAAATAAAACAAGTTCATGCAAACCACTATTTTTAAATTATAGTTTTATTATTTAAAGGGAAAAAAACTTGCAGCAACAACAACTAGTAATGAGTCTCTTTCATCAGTGGAATTTTGTACAATTCTTCAAAGTGCTTTCGCACATAATGGAGAGTTTTCTTCCATTAACGGCAACTCAAAGTTGACACAGTGATTTCAAGATCTTCTGGAAAAGAGCAAGATTCATGGTTCCATCAGTTAGCTTCAACATGTGGTCCAAATCCAGAAGCAGCAATAAAGCATCCCCAGACCATCACACTGCCACCACCATGTTTGACTGTGGTATGATGTTTCACCACATGTACAGGGGCCCACACACATTCCAGAAAGTTCCACTTTTGTCTCATCAGTCAACACATTATCTATTTATGTATTTATTGATGCTATTTTTTATTTATTTTTGATATTGTGAGATGGGATTTTGGTCAGCAGTGATTTTTGCTTTGGAATGTTCCAAAATTCTGTTTCTGTATTACTGTTGGATTCCAAAACTTTTACAAGAGTTATTTTTGTTCTGGAATTTCTGTCACTGAGATACAATTTGAGTCAAAAAAAAAATATAAATATAAAAAAAGAAAGAAAACTACTCTCACTTTATTTTTGGGATTAGTTTGCATCAATACTGCTGCAGACATTATCAAATGCTCAATATCTCATTATAGTGAGATACTAAGTCATAATTATGAGATATATATATATATATATATATATATATATATATATATATATATATATATAATTACTATTTTATAGATAAAAAATAGAGACGATGATGGTTAAAGCAAACCGTAAGCAAACCAAACTGACATTTTTGCAGACATTACTTCCTGTTAAAATGTAGTTGATTCAGTATTGGTTTGCTGAAGGTTTTAGTGTTAGTCATGTTATAAATGGTCATTGTTTTTAATATCAGATGGAGGCGGAAACTGGACAGATTCTGTTTTTGTACAGTTCTATTGAATCTTATTTTCAGCTGAATTTCTGAGTGTCAACGTATAAAATTGAGCTGTTACACTAAAATAATCATCATGTAATACAAGTGCAGACTGCTTTGTCACAGGAAGTTGTGGTTAACCATCTCCTTTGTGTGATTGTATTGCGATGCAAAGGTCTGATATGTGCAGCAGTTTTTATTATTTAAGTTTAATGTAAAAATGTGTTTATGTTACTGATGTTAATAATAAAACATTAATGGAAACTGTTTTCCTCCAGACCGTTTCTGATTGTAATCTAGTTATTTGTGTTTGTCACCAAATCTGTCAAACAAAAACTTAAATACTTTATTCAACAAAACACAGTTTAATAATTTAATGCAATTTTTGAAAATATCACCATGATTTAGAAATTTCAGCTTTAAAATTTTCATTAAGTGCTCAAAAATTACAGTTTATCTTAGAGAGTTGCTTCATTTACTGTGGAAGCCCATTCCCACCACTCATATAAAAAATGTAAATGATCTCATAATTACGACTTAGTTATCTCAATTCAAATCTAATTAAACTTTATTTATAAAGCACTTTTCATGCAACTGATACAACTCAAAGTGCCTTACAGATTAAACAGACCCCACACAACCCTCGTTACCGTCCTTCCCCCATAAATAAAAGCAAAAAGAGACAATGCGATGAGTTCAGTTGATCCAAGGAAACATCATTAGGGGCCTATCTGCCCCGGGAATAGCAGAACAATATCTCATTATAATGAGATACTAAGTCATAATTATGAGACACACACACACACACACACACACACACACACACACACACACACACACACACACACACACACACACACACACACACACACACACACACACATATATATATATATATACTATTTTTATTATTATTATTATTATTATTATTATTATTATTATTATTATTATTATTATTATTATTATTATGGTACTACTAGTAGTAGTAATTCAATTTTTATTGATGGTAAGTTAAGATTTAACCACCAAATGAATATGCAAATAAAAAATGAAAATATATTAAACTCTGCTGGTTTTTTTCTGTCTTCCTTTTATTATCGGGGAAAATGGTTGAAAAACAAAATGAACTAAAAACAAAAATAAAATGTAATCATTCATAATTCGATACTGAATTCATATTCCATGTATGAAAGCTTTTTTCGTATATTTTAAAATGTTCTCACCTGAGGTCTTGACTGGCATCGGAATAAAAAGGAATTCCCTGAGTGAAGGTGAGTGGGTAGGTGGGATTTTCACTGGTGGTAAATTCTGCCGCTCTCCTCTTCCTCACCAAACCATCAGACTGATTTTCCATTTCACACTTTCCAGTAAACCTCGGTTCACTCAGAGGACCTCGTTAGTCTGATCCTTACTATATGCATTCATGTTTCTAACATTATATATTTTATAGTGTTAGTAAATCAGTCACTGATTTGGCTCATAGCTGCAGCCAGCTAAGCTAAATGTCAAAAGTCTCATTTACATACCGAAGATTACCCCCTGCTGAGAGATCTGTATTTTTTGCAGGGTCGTAGACCGTCTCACCCCCTGCCTCTAAAGCAAACCACAGGTTTGAGTCGATGAGCGTATGCTGAATCAGCTAGTGGGGAATTTTCTGTCTCTGTTTCAAATCTTAATTTTCTATCAAAGGAAATGCTACTTTATCTGGATGATATTCTGAGTCATATATATATATATATATATATATATATATATATATATATATATATGTGTGTGTGTGTGTGTGTGTGTGTGTGTGTGTGTATTATTTTCGGTGTTTCAGGATGCTGACCTGT